TCATATTGTGACTGTTTTTCCCTGTCCAGAGGGGATTTGGTCACTAATGAAAACATCTTATCCTGTAAAGATGGTGATAAAGCAAACGGAACATCCTCACCTACGAAACAAATAACTTTTCCATTAAGACCAGAATCCAAGTCATTTACACTAATAAGAGCTACTGTAGTTCCAGGTCTGGAATCTTCTGGTATTGAGCTTGAAAATGATGTTACCTCAATCTCAGGTGCGTTATCATTCAAGTCAACAATCTTTATTTTTACGCTCTTTTCTGTAGTTAGAGGAGCCATACCTTTATCCGACGCCTGGATTTCTATTTCGTATTTTTCCCTCTCCTCATAGTTTATCAATCCTTTAACGCTTAACTCTCCTGTTAATGGACTGATAGCAAAGAGATTTAAATCTTTTTGATTTATACTCTTACCAAATGAATAAACTACATCTCCGTTAGGTCCATCATCTAAGTCTATTGCATTTACTTGTACGACTATTGTACCAAGTGGTGTATTTTCATTGAGCGTAACAGAATAATCATCTTTAGAGAAAGCAGGAACGTTATCATTAACATCAAGAACATCTACCAGAATAGTCATTTCGCTTGATTTCGGAGGTTTACCCCCATCCAGCGCCGTCAGTGATAATACATGGCTCCCTGCAGTTTCCCTGTCTAAAGATTTTTGAACAACTAAAATAGGTATTTTTCCATCATCTCCTTTATCCTTAATTTCCAATCGGAAGTGATCGTTGTTGCTAAGTTTATACTGCTGCACGGAAAACTGTCCACTGTCTTGGTCACGTGCTGCTTTCAGCTGAAATCGTGTCCCGGGTAATACTGACTCTGAAATCTCAAGGGTTGTCTGGTTGTCTTGGAAGCTGGGTGAATGATCATTTATATCCAGCACTTCTACTCTAGCATAATGGACCTCCAGTGGGTTTTCTAGCACAGTTTTAACATTTATTACACACGCACTGCTCTGCGCACACACTTCCTCTCTGTCAATCTTTCTGCTCACATACAGAACACCATCGTTTGGATTCACATAGAACAGGGGATCCGCATTACTTGAAACAATCCGATACTTCCGGTCTTTCAACGTGTTTTTATCTAATCCCAGATCTCTTGCTATGTTTCCAACCACAGTTCCTTCGTTAACCTCCTCGGAGATCGAGTATCGCAACTGCGCTGATGCTACAGTCCACAAAAGCACAGCAAATACGCATCCGACCAGATATCCTCTCCTCATTTCCGACTGGCGTTTTCTTTGTTCCATGGTCAAAACGAAATTTTTCAATAATCCATCACAATGACTATAAATCTGTTGGAAATGCAAAAAAAGAACAACCTCGTTCTTGCAAACACTCCTGTGATATTTGTACATGCAAAAACTGGTGTAAACCCAGAGAACAATCCGCGAAACGATGCTCCCCTTGTCGATGTGAAATAGCTAAGAGGTGGAACCAAAAAGCAGTAAGGACAAGCTTGTGGGTGGAAGGTTTTCTATATCGCACTGACACCATGCGAGTTTTATTCTCATTACAGAAAATTGGCTTCATATTGGATTGTTAGAGCAGTATGATCGGTTTATGAAAAGCGAAGAAGAGACTTCGTGTCCATCAGAAGATTACAAATCCAACACGAATTAAAAAAAAAAACTATAATCTCTTTTTTTCACGCAGTACCAGCGAGTATTTTGAATTTGTATTGTTGTTATCTCACGAGTTAAGCAAATCGTGTCACTGCAGAATTACCTTGAAACGAAGCAAGGCACTTTTCAGCCCCAAGGATAGTTATTTCGTTTGCAAATTGCTTTCACTGAGTGAGTCCCGCACATTTTTGTATCTCATTAATTGACAGGTAGCTAAAAACACTCACTTGTCTGAAATAAATCAACCTTGATTTGTTGCTCAATAATTTCAGAATAACAAGGTATTATAATGATGTCCAATGAGACACTTTAAAATATCACAGCTGCTCTGATCGAGGTGAGGGAGATGAAAAGGATGAATTTTTGTGTGACTAGTGATTAAAAATAAATGTACAACTTAGGGGAAGAACGTCATATTTTAAGGTATGCCTTACCTCAGATGTTCTCCTCCTGTCAGGAAGTACGAGTGTATTTGCATGACTTCCAGGTACTATAGTAGATCCTATACTCATTCTGGGTCCAACTAGCATGTACCGCTTCTCTCCTGATCTGTACTGGATGCTGTGACACA